TAACTGAACCATAATCCACTGAAATGATATGTTCTAAGCTGTACTGACTCCACACACCCCGTCTCGTCTCCAGGCTTTTATTTTACTGTTCTGTTTAAAACATTCGGTTATGAAAAGGTACAAATACGAACTTTTCACCTGGAAACACTTATTTAAGGTTCACAATCAGACCTTAAAACCACTGTTGGAGCTTTGAGGGAACATTTACACTGTTTGTACCTTGATGAACGGAAAATATACCTGCATAGAACATTTATTTCTAGGGGGGGCACCTAATATTTCCTCCAAAATGAATGTAAAAATTGATAAATAAATAGACTTTAGCTAAACAGCTGACTGTAGCTCAGTATATATATTTTGAAGAACGAACAGAAGCCTTGAGGAAACAGTCCCAAATTTATTTGAGTCCCTGCAAAGAATAGACACTGATTGAGACTCTCCTGTTTATGCTGGACAGTCTGATAATTTGCTCAGCTATCTTGTTGTTAGGGTTAAATTACATAAAGGCCTGCATCTTCCAGCAGGATTAGAGAAGCTAAGAGGACTAGACTATTATGCATTGAACATTTATGTTGTTTCTTGCTACTTTAAGCCCTTGGCTCAATATTTTAGTGATGTGTTTGGTCTCACGTCTTGTTTTACATTATTGTAAATGAGTTTGTGTGGATGAGGCACCATAACTGCACTTCTCAGGCGCACCAGATGATCTTAATCTGGCCCTGCTCCTGCTCCACGCTCAAACACTGCCACACTCTGCCAGAACTGACCACCAAATGGACGGCACCCTTCACACTCAGGCTTTGAGACGTTGAGGTAAAGCAAACGCTACAGCAGAAGCTACAAGACACGCCGACATCTCACCGGCATGCCGACGAGCCGAGCTGTTGGAAATCACCTACTTGAGAAAAGCAAACACAAGCATTAGCCGTGACACGCTGACTCTCTCCCTCGACTCTCTCTCTCTCTCTCTCTCTCTCAATCTCTCTCTCTCTCTCTCTCTCTCTCTCTCAATCTCTCTCTCTCTCTCTCGTACGCACACACATAGGCTCCTCCGGCCGGGCTAGCGCTTACCGCCGGGCCCCCGAAGAGCATTCTGTCGGAGCCTTTCTCATTCTAGCTCATTTTTCTTCTCCCTCGCTGACGGAGGAAATGGGTAGGCTAATTGGTGGGTCAATTTTGAGTCTCCAGCAGCCAAAACTCGCCAGTGAAAACAAACCCGTCGCTCGAAAGTTTGGGAAGGGCCCTCACATTTCCTGCGCTCGCCTGCAGGGCGCTGCCTGGTGCACGGCGAGTTTGTGAGTGTGTGAGAGAGAAAAAGAGAAAAAAGAGGACAGAACTTTTGATCCAACATGTTAAACGCATCAGCGCAAAAACAAATCGAAGAACGTGCTCACTTTTCACCACAGAGCGCGCCCTCAAACGCACGGCCGAGCATGCGAATGAGTCCCTTTGCCTCGAGACCCCCGAGAAGAGGGGGGGAGCTTTGAGCGAAGACCCCAACAGGTGAACAGGGCCTTAGTGTGGAATCCTGGGAGCAGCAGCATGAAGCATATTAAAAGGCCATAGAGAGAGGGAGAGAGAGAGAGAGGGCAAGCATCAGAGAGAGATAGAGCACAAATGAGAATAAAGATGGATGGAAGTAAAGGGGAAAGGGGGGAGGAGAGATAAAGAAGAGAGAAAGGGAAATGGAGGGAGAGAGAGAGAGAGAGAGATAGAGAAAAGGGGGCTGTCCTGACGGAGAGGCAGATCAGAAGCATGCCCTGAAGGGATGACTGGGCCTGGGGATTAGTCAGAGAGGGAGAGAGAGAGAGGGGCAGAAAGGAAAAGAAAGAGAAAGAGAGAGAGAGAGAGAGAACCCCCCCCCCAAACCGTGCAGCCACAGACCCCCTTCTCACCTCCGCCGAGACGCAAATACGGACAGACACTTTTGACATGTCTCTACTTTTCCACAACGGCCCGACTTCGTATCAACACAATACACACCCTAACCCGTGGCAAAGCTCAATAACCTCTCTCTCCCTCCCTCTCTCTCTCTCTCTCTCTCCGCCTTCACGTCTTTCTTTTTCCTCAGCTACTCCCTACTTTGTGTCCTTTTCATTCGACGTCAAAAAGTATCAAAGTTGGGGATCATCAAAGTAAAAATTTCATCCATTTCTCAAAAGTTGAGGCTCTGCATCCACTTCGGGCCACGTAATCACCCGATTACTGGCGTCTAAAAAGTTTAAACAGATGCAATAATTGCCAAAAAGGTACTTTTTTCAGTGTTTTCTTCCTGCTGGAGGGGGGGAAGCGATCCGCATCTGAAAGAAATCTGACAACACGGGCGAGGGAGGAGAGCTTCTGAAGAAATAACCTCATGCACATTCACCTTCGGCCCCTGCTACAGATCCATCATAACAAATCACTCCCCGTATGCCTCGGCAACAGAACGTAATCAGCTCTGCCTGGCTGCCAAACGTCAAACTGAAAACACATTTCACCACCATGAAAAAAAAATTAATAAAAAAATCCCCCCCGTGCCCCCCCAGAGCACTTCCCTAATCTCCATCCAGCATCAATCCCATTCAGGTTCAGGCAGAAGAAAAAACATCTTCCCCTCCGTTTGTCGTCTTATTGGTTTGGACAGGATGAGCGGTGCTATTTAAACACACATTAGCATCACAATGCCCCGCTGTTAGCCGCCTCATTCACACACACACACACACACACACACACACACACACACACACTCTCACGCATGCACCTAATTACAGGTAGCGCCGCTTTAGCATGCTGAAGGACCCCAAGGGTCAGACGCAGGGCCCTGAGCCTCCACGGGACGGGCATGTCTGCGTTTTCGGAGGTTGGTGGAGAGGTGCGAGGGTCATCTCAGAGGGTTCTTATTAGCTGCTGACAGAGTGTGGTCTGTCAGATTTCTAAAAGGGTCACCAGTAAAAAAACAGAAGAGGTTTAATCAGATCTGAGTGATGCGCACTGTGGTAAGACGCTCATCCAGGAAAATTCATTTATGTTCAGCAAGATGTGATGAACTGGAACCAGACTGCTTCCCAAAATCACACCTGTTCAGCTGAAGACTGTTTAACTGATGTATTATTCAGAAAATATTCTACATAATGGAGTAAAATAGTATAATTGCTGCAAAACAGAAAATATAATAACTGCAATATTTAAGAAATTACTAATTTCTTAAAGTCTGGTTTAAATTTAAATTAAAAAATTGAATTCCTGAAATTAACACAGTCAGTCTAAGCAAGTAGTGCAAATTAATATAACTGTGTCTAAATGAGAAATGATGAAATATTAGAAAATAATGACAAAAAAATTGCCTTGAAAGTGGCAGGTGCAGCAAATTAAACCAGACCAGTATTTTTTTTTTCTAATGAGAAATGTGCAAATCGCATAGATATTTATTATATTGAGCCAAATTAAAGAATTCATTTTGGACGAACAGTTTTGTTTTGTTTTGCATTGTATTGTTTTATATATACAGACAGAAATGAAACTCTTAAATTTGGAGCAGGCTGAGGTGGAGTTTGGTGCAAAACAGTCGGAAAGAAAAACATGCTGTGGCCACTAAATTCTAAATCTCAGTTTCTCTGCACGGAGACAAATTAAACGACCGTTTAACTAAAAACCGGAATTTTTTTTCTTAAATTCTCAAAAACACGCGCTGAACACGCGAACCTGTCCGGGAGGAGGAGAGAGAAGAGAGGGAGAGGAGAAAGGAGAAAAAGGGTGTTTTCAGGCCTGAAGAGGAAAAAATGCTAATAAATAAAATAAAATAAAAATGCAAAGAAATATAAAAAGAAAAAAGGGAAGAAAAAAAGTTGAGATTTTTTGTTTCTGCGCGCCAAAAATCAATTTACTTAAAAAATCAATTTTAAAGCTTTTTATTTTAATCTTCAGGGTCTAAAAATGATTTGGTGAAATTTGAGGGAGTTACTGAATGAAAGCGCGTGCAGATAGATGCTGAGGTGCCTCAGCAGGGCGCGCGACGCTGTCTGTTCCCGCGCGCCGAACGGCCAACAGCTGGCGGGGGCGCGAGGAGAAAGTTTACGAAAACACACGCGCGCAGGTGAATATTCAGATATGTAGCACACTTCCATTACTCCGCATGCGTTTTAAAGCGGCACGTGCACTGCAGATACACTCCTAACCAGCTACTCAAAGCTTCGCGAGCTCCTTTGATCTTGAAATTCGGCTTATTTTATCAGGTTAAAAGTTATAAGCAGGTTATTCTGGATAAACAAACAACCTAAACACCTCAAAATGATCTCCGGTGAACTTCTTCTCCTTCAGGCTGGTTCAGGTGTTGTTTTTTGGGCCTCGTGCGAGCACGTGAAAAAAGAAAAGCGCTCTGAAATATGACCCCCGGTAAATACGCCCCCCAGAGAAAAGCCCTGCTGAAAAAAGACGGTTAGAACCACTAAGACTAAAACCTGATGGGAACTGGCCTAACGGTCACCAGTTTTCCTGCAGATCCCTTTGGGAAAGTTCTGGAATCGGTCCAAGGTCATATGTTGCACCATTACACTGTGACATGAGCCCATCAGGAGAACCCACAGCACCATTACTGACTCTAGAACACCAGCAGAAACTTCCACTGCTCTGCTGTGGTTTGGTTTTCAGCAGGAGGTCCTTAGTCATCTGAGCATGGCTGCAGAAGAGGAGGCCAGGCCAGGCGTCCCGGGCCAGGCACGGTTCAGAGTGCAGCTCTCAGATTTTCAGTTTGAGCAGAGGAAGAAGAAGAAAAGGAAGAAGAAAGTTCAGCAAGTTTGGCTACTTCGCCCGGATTACAGAGCAAAGCTCGCCGCACATGGAGCTCCGAGCGCAGCTGGCTTTGACCACCTTGTTTACTTCCAATTGAGCGCTTTTTTGCGACTTTGCAACCTGATCCTTCTGACACCTCAGCTCCTCTTTTCACTGAGGGAAAAAAAAACTTTCAGGGCGATGCAAACCTGCCAGGAGGAAAACAATGAACCAAGAAAGTGCAGACTTACGTTTCTGAAACGCAGTTTCCCTCCAGAAAACGCAGAAAAAACCGCCGCAGATGGATCTTCTCCGCTCGCTGCAGATGTGCAGAAGTTTCTCTCTGCGCGTCTTAAGTTTCAGCTCCCCTCTCTCCCTCTCTCTCTCCCTCTCTCTCCCTCTCTGCGCTCTGACCGAGTTTGGGTTTCTTTCTCCTCCTTCTTTTCCTCTCCTCGCCTTCTGCTTCTCTGCTACGCTTCTCGGGAACTCGGGAACTTTGTCTGGATGCCTGTCAGAGGAGTGAAAACCCTAGAAAAAGTGCGCACGGATTCCTGAAGCCCCCTTTTTTCCTCTCTCAGGACAACAAAGCGTGTTAAACAGCGCTGAGGAGACTTTCTCGGAGAGGGGGGCTCTGGTGCTCTGCAACTCCAGCTGCCCTTTCCTTCTCCTGACTCCTCCCTTTCGGAGCTTTCACACACGCTACCTCCCTCTTCTTCTTTCTAACCCCACTCTCTCTCCCTCCCTCCCTCTCTCCCTCCTTCCCTCCCTCCCTGCCTCCCTTCCTCCCTCCCTCCTTTCTCTTCTCCCAGTTCAGTTCGGCGCCGCTTGCTGTTTCCTGAGACGGCGGTGCGGTGGCTCGCTGGAAGCGGCTGCAGCTCGCGCCACGCACGAGAGCTTCGTAACTTTAAATTGAATGTGCGAAAGTCTGAGGCCAGCTGTTATATTTCTGCTATCACTCCTTTCTAAATTATGAGAAAGATTTTCAATGCAAATTCTTTTACCAGCACAACAGTTTGAGTGAAATGTAGAATTTTGCATCAAATTTTAACGTGAATTTCAGAAATTATTAGTATTTTCTACTCTGCATCCCTCTTGATTTAATGACAGGGAGCATTCCAGCTGCACGGGCTTCATATGATTGTGGAAAAGCCACTGATAATCAGATCAAATCCACCTGAGAGCCCAGCTTCACTGGAAGAGATCAGACTAAAAAAAAAATCTGAACATTTTCAGAACATGCTCAATTTCACAAATTTGTTCCAGTTTGAATAGTGACTTAGAATTAGTGCATAATTTAGAACATTTCTTCTTCATTTTAATGTATGACTTTTTTTTTGCTTATTATTATTATTATTTTATTTTATTTTTATTTTTTTTCAAAATTCTAAAATTCAATTTCCATGTTTAAATGAAAACAAGATTTGCAGTGTGATTTTTGGACCCCACTGTGCATGTAAACGTACAGCTTCGAAGCACCTTCACTGCACTGCTCCTCTCAGACTTTACCACATCATAACTGTGGGCTTTAAACGAGAGTGCTTTGTGATATCTTTCAAATACAAACACTGAGAGTGAGAGTGAGAGCGCTGAGCTAAGATCAGCTCTTATCAGGTCATGGAATTTTATTCAGTGTTACATGAAATCATAAGCTAATCCTCTGTCAGTAGGTTTGATAAATGAGGGTCATTGTTAGATGAATTGTACACTTTTGTGGATCGTTTATGAAAATGTCGCAGTCTTTTGCATTTGGTTATAAGAACTAAACTGAAGCAGAAATCCCAAAAAGGAATTTTTATTGGGTGAGTGATTATGTTAAGGAGGCAAACAACCTCCTCACTCTTTTTTATATGGTTAGAGAGTTTACACAGAGCTTACATTTGAGGAATAAATACTTTACATCATTCATTTAATAAACACAGAGACTAAAAAAAGTCTAAAATTCAAATCTAAAGCTTTAGAATTTAGAATTCTGTCTTTATGAAAGTTTCCTAGAAGACAATATCATATAATGTTTATTATTACAGAAATGTCCAGTAACCTATTCAAACATACAAAGGATAACAGGAATTTTTAGAGTGGGGGGGGCAGTTGTATAATAAATGTTTTTAACGTATAATGATTGTTTCATCTTTCTTTTTACAGCAGGAGCACATAAAGAACTTACATGACAATACGTGGGTAGTGAGAGACTCAAAATCAGATTATTTTATTTTGCTGGGGTCAAAGAAATCTATGAGAAGCAATCCACAATTCATTCATATTTATCTTTGGGTATCTACTTGCACTGAGCAGCTGAACATGTTTGTACACTAAATGTGTAAATAATCTAAAACAATTCAGATTGAACAGAAGCTTTAATGTACCTTTGCATTATGTCTGCTCATGCTTTACATATGTGCATCGTATAATCTACATAAAGGTTTAAAAACACGTCAATCTCCAATCTCAATTAGTAATTATGTGTAAAAAGAGAAGTAACAAAAATGCAAATGCAGCTTAATTTGATCTTCGGAACATTTCTCCAGTTTTGCTGCTTACTAACTGTAAGTTTACATTCATAGTACAGAAAAAAATAATATTTGTGTTTGTCCTGTTAATCAGATTCATCCTGATTGTCTCAAGCAAAGGCAAAATGCAGCCCTGATATGTGTTACAGCATTACTAAGCAACCCAATTCAGAGAATCAGAAAACAAGCAACACACTAACATTTCACAAATGCTACAAACGATGATGTAAATGGTGTTCATGTGACTGTGAGTGTATGTTTATGGAAAATACAGTGGATAAAAAGTCTGCCATCATTTATCCGACCTGTGGATACAGCTCAAATCAAGGACCTGCATTAAAAGAAAAAGAAGCCTGTATGTAATATAATTTCACATTATGAGAAATACGCATGAACGATTTGTATGATTTAGGGCATGACATAAGTAAATATTTAATAAAGATTTTATATTAGTGGTTTAGATCAAACCAGTTGTAACTAATCAGAGTTATCTCTTTACATGAGTTCTCTCAGGTGAAGATCAGATACAAAGCTAAAATTTGGAGTTGTCAGGAAACACGAATGGTGTCCTACAAGGCTCCGTATTAGGTCCTTTGTAATTGGTAACAATATAAAATTTTCAGCTGCAACATTCAAACTTAAAATGAACCCAAAACAGCATATCGTCCATTTTTTTAGGTTTTTATTTTTCGGCATCATTTGAGCTCAGCAGCTGCGTTTGCATTGTATAAAATTTCATAATTCCTAATGAATGGATCAGTATAAATGCTCCACAATTGCTTAGAGTAAAATTTATTTGCATTAACTGACATTAAAAGTGAAGAATGTTTCACCGTCTCCTGTGAAGTTCCCATTTTGGAGATTTTCTTTGGACTGCGACAATATAATCCACTGTACTGACCGGTCCATCCTGGAATATAAGATGAGGTAAAGGCTTTGTATGTCGAGACTGGGAAAGCCGTCCACAGGGATCAAAAAAAGAGCTGGGCCCAAAGTAGAGTTGAATATAATCAATATACATCATCAATATACAGGGAAATTAGGCCATTTAGAAACACCTTCTGGGCTCGCAATCAATCAATGAGGCAATATTGGAGATTTCAGAGCAGAAAATCACCCTCTAATCTTTTAAGTTGCATTCGACCGCACGTGTGGCCGAGAAGTCAAGTCCAGTAAGACTTCTCCTTTATCTGATCGTCCACACGAAGGGTGCCATTGACATCTCTGTTGGAGGTGCACGGCCTTCTGGTCAACAAGACTCAATTGATTTTCCCTGAAACACTTTGTAAACATTATTGTGGCATGTAAACCCCAGTAATACCTGCCTCAGGTCTCTCAGTATGACAGTGAGCAATGATGCCAAGCACCTCACAGTGAGGCATATGACCTACATCTCTAATCTGAATATCTAAAAAGGCTGTACTATTCATAAAAACACAACGATTTATAATATTTTAATTGCCAAACACTCTAAAGTGGGCAATATTTTATTGTTATTGTGATAAATTATATCACAATATCCTTTTCTGAGAATATTATGTTTATCGTCACATACTGTTTCATTAAATGAGCATAATTAGGCCTGTTTAATTAGATTTAGTGCAGTGTAGTTTTTAAAACACTGAATAAAAATCATTACAGCTGTATGTTTATTATTATTGTTACAATATTTTTATTTGTGGCATTACAACTTCTATTTTGTTTGCAACTTATTAAATGTCAGAAAAACTAAATATCATGATGCATATTGTGTATCATGAAAGTATATGTACTATAATATATAATATATAAAAAAATAAATATGATAATAAGTATTGTGATGTTTTTGTGCCATATTGCCCACCCCTACTTTCTAGATTTCTACTTTGTGTTCATTTAAGCATCATGAGCCAGAAGTAAAACCAGAGAATGTTACCAGCTTTTTCGTGATGAAGTGGTGACGACATGCTCTCTTCAAAATAAACAGCATTATAAGGTCATTTTTGTTGATTTTGCATGTGACACAAGTAAATATTCAATAAAGATTTTATGTCAGTGGTTTAGATCAAACTGTTTTAGTTTGGAGTTGTCAGGAAACACAAACGGTGTCCTGCAAGGCTCCATATTAGGTCCTATGCAATTGTTAATAAGATTATGTTTTATTTTCATGCTGATGACAAAAGGACTTACACCTTTTCCCTAATTCAGATTGTCTTAAATCTGCAACATCTACTTTTTTAACACCAAATATACTTGCAGTATTGACTATACTAGTTCACAAATCTATTCCTAAGGAAGCCTTGACTGTCTGATAAGACAGATAAGGACATTAATTTGGATGACTAACTAGCATTTCATATCTGTGCAGATGATAAACTGTGTACAAACAGCTGAGCTGGTTATGTCGATGCACGTGACCCTACAAAATTGTAATAATACAGTTTGCATTTTACCATTAAAAAATTCTGCCAGTCTTTATTGTGCAAATTGACAGATGCAGCATAAGGTACGAGTGCTGCAAACTAGGCCACAACATTGTATGAAATGAAGCTGGAGAAAGCTTCTGTAGTACAAAACAAGCAGTAAAGCTGTGTAGCAGCTGCAGAATTACAGCGAGAAAAAAAACAAGCAAAGCAAAAAAGCCACAGGCTGAGATAATCCATTACGCACAACACCTAACATTTATATAAGTCAACAGCCAAAGCCACCTTTTCATGCGTTCATTTATGTGTTCGGAAACATCAAAAATGATGTGTAGGTGTAACGTCATTGAACACAACTGCTGCTAGGCTTGCTGCCGATTTGAAGTTTACAACATGCACTTGAGAACCGAGCCTGAGAGGCTCTGTATCTTGAGTGTTGTTCTAATAACAAACATCTCTGTTTGAAAATTCATATCAGTCAGAGATCAGCTCGGCGCTAACCTTATCTGGCAAATAGAGAGGTTGATCAAGAGATCTAATGAGCTTTTTTTTCCTCCGGACTATCTGTGAGATAGAGCGTATCCATAGAGGAGAGGAGAGGAGAGGAGGAGTGAGGGGAGGTGTGAGGTAGAGTGAAGAGTGCTGGGGAGTTAGTGGCTCCCGAAAGTATTCCATCAAAGAGGAGTGGAATCCCAGGGACTGAGATTTTTGCCTGGAGGCAAGTAACCATCGGTCTCCCAAGAACATCTTCCAAAGGCGGCCTCAGAGAGCCAAAGCACACATCAAAAGCGGCCATGGTGCCAAAGCGGTTCTGGAGGAGAAAG